TTTGTGTCTGGGATCTCTATTCTGGTCCATTGGTCCCTGTTTCAGTTATAAGGTGAGCACCATTCTTATTTTGATTACTATAGCTTTGTAGCATATTTTGAAGTCGGCATGATGCTTCCACCTTCCACCTATGTTTGTCTTTTTGCCTAAGATTGTTTTGGTTATTTGGGGTCTTTCAAGTATCTTCATTTCTGTGAAATATGTCATTGTTGTTTTGATAGGGATTGCTTTGAATCTGTAGATCACGTGGGGCACTATGAATATTTTAACAATATCACTTCTTCCAATTCATGAGTTCATGAACACAAATTGAGAGTTCTCTGGGGGCAGCTGAAGATGATAAAAGTAGTAGTGGAAATGATAGTGTAGCGGAGACAGAGCCCAATATACTTAAGATGTCCTGAGAAATAGGGTTTTTGAGCAACATGGTGGAAATATAGCACAAATAAGGAAAGGTGGGTAATGAGATTTCCCCAATACTAGGTAAGACAGGGACTTCAGCAAAAACATACCAAAATATTCTTTTAAGCATCCCATTTAGAGTGAGTTTAAGGAAATCCTTGTTAATTTCAATGTCTAGAAGCAGTGTGTTTGTATTTGGAGAACAAAGGTGAGGGAGTTGTCTTGATGTTTGAGTTGCATCAGAACAAATCAACCCTCGGAGACAGAACATAGGGAAGGCTTTAGAGCAAGGATTGAAGAAGTGAAGTCTCTTTCATGATCTATGGAGAGTTGTTTCTAAGAGGCATAGGGTAGGTCCTGCATAGAGAATTAGGATTAGGACATTTCAAACTTAAAATTCCAGGACAGTGACCAGAAGGCAAGAGCATGTAGGGTGCTCAGACTGGTATCACTTGGGGTACAGCATTTGACAGGAGTGCTGGGATGATTAAAGTATGCAGGTGTCTGCAGACTAAGTACAATGCCTGGCCTGGAGCAGATCAACAATAGGCCATAGCAGTTGTTACCTTTACAATGGTTATTAGCATGTAGCAGTAATTTTGTGAATGCATCTTATCTGATTTGTCTGTGCACTTCCTAATTCCTTTAGCACAGAGACT